GTTCTCTCTTCTCTTCTGTGTGGTATGTGAGAACTTGGCTCCTTCCCAAGTTCCAACTCCCCTTCCTGTCCTGTGGGAATATAATGAAGGCCATCTCTAAGTACATGTGGGACCTTGGGGGCCTGTCCAGCTCCTTGGTCAAAGAATGGCCAAAAAGGAACTGTTCTTGAGCCCAGATTGTAAACAGCTTGTGTTTTGATCTCACACAGCTTGCGCATAGGCACATCCGCCCTGCATGCATGATTTATCCCCAGGTTTGCTTGTTTTCTGTACTCTATATAACCCTGTACTAGAAAGCCTGCATTATAGAGACTTCACCAGTAGGCCATTCGAAGTGTGCCAATACGTCCTAATTAGCTCATGTCTTTTGTAGCCAATCCTCCAGGTTATTTCTTTGGAATTGGCAAGCAATATACAGAGGCCTTCTTGAACCTCAGCTCTTTGCATAACATTCTCTATCCCCACTGATCTTGCCCTAGTTTATTTCATCATCATCTCTTTCTAGGAAAAGATGAATAATCTTCAAACATCTCCACCACCTTCGATGCATGATTTGTCTCCACTTCAAAGGGACAGGATTGTTTTCGAATTGGAGAAGTGGTAACTCCTTAGGTTTGCTCCCAGGGGTGAAGACCTAGGACTCCAACTCCCTCCACAGCTATGCTTCATATTCTTTAACTAGAGGTCTGGTGCACAAAAATTCATCCACTAAGGGCGGGTCCCTCAGTCTGGCGTGTGCCCTCTCTCAGTCCGGGACCCCTCAGGGGATGTCTGACTGATGGCTTAGGCCTGTTTTCCGGGGGATTGGGCCTAAGCCATTAGCCAGACATCCTTAGCGCTGCTGTGGAGGTGGGAGAGGCTCTCACCACGACAACTGCTGTGCTGGCCAGCCATGAGCCAGTTTCTGAGTGGTGCTCCCACTGTGGAAGTGCACTGACCACCACGGGGGCAGCTCATGCATTGAGCATTTTCCCCCTGGTGGTTACTGCATGTCATAGCAACTGGTCATCCTAGTTGTTCTGCCATTAGGGTCAATTTGCATATTCCCCTTTTATTATATAGGATTATTTTACAAACCATGAGAAATATATTCCCAAAGTAATCCTCAAGGCAATATTTGTTGATCCTTTGTTGGCCTGTTGATCTACTCTTCCTAAGTGAACCAAGCCAAGAGAAGAGTGCACAGCCCCTTACATTTGACCCAGGTAGGAATACAGATCACTGAACAGCCTCAATGTTTAAAAACCAAGATTTTCAAAACAGAATATACCAAATCGTGACATGGCCACTGTATACCTGTATCATACCTCCACCCTTCAAAGCTCTTCTGCAGCATGGATCTTAAGAATCACAAGAAGATACATATGATCGTCCCACTTTGTAAATATACACCAGTTGCTCAGAGCACAATGGTGTTTTGTGGAGGGTCTCACAGATGGTTAGTGGCTGAGCTCAGAATAAAAGCTTTAGTTCCTCAGTCTTGATAAGGCACACATATGAGAGAGCTTTTTACTACATTACTCTAGGTGCTCACCGATTTTAAACTTTTAAGTCATCACATATCTATATATTTTCCACCTCTGTCTATAGGCAGAATGCATTAGAGAGATTTATTAGACAAGCAATCTCGAAAAGATGACTGTTTTCAGAAGCTACTGCTCCCCAGTCCTCCTTAGGTAGAAAACCTTAATTTGTCTTTCCAAATTCACTCCACCACAGAGAATAGCTTTGTGGATGTAAAAGCAATAATAAAAGACCAAACTCAGTCCGGCTGCATACAATCCACCTCTTGTTTCCATTGTGGTAAATGATCAGCTCTCCCTACGTCCCACAGTTACTTACATGCCTGGTGAGCTCTTACAGGGGAGCATGTTTCTCCCCAGGCCCATTTCTCATTTAGCTCTACTCATTAGAGGAGGCTGGGGCACAAGCCAGGTTAACATGTCAATAAGTCACCAAGCACAGGCAAAAATTGACAGCCAAGGAATCCCAGCTCCCAACCTTCTCCCATATAGAAACCGTCAGAAAACAGGTTCTCAGCCTCCTCTTCAGGTCACTGAAATAAATAGTGGCATTTGAGTCCTGCAGAGTAATTAATTTCCTCTGTCTCCAATAGCGCCTCATATTTTTAATGAATTTTATAAGTCTCAGATCCTGCAGCCTCCCAGCTCCCTCTCCAACCTCGTTGTTCCCTAAGGTCCCATAACAAATAGCTCCCACTCATATTTGCCTTGCAAACTCACATAAACTGGAAATGATAAATACATTAGCTGGGCTTTTTAACGGACCATTGTTTAATTTTCTATGCTTGTCTGGCTGGGGAAGAGATAAATATTACCTTGTGGAGAATAAGATTTCTATTCCCTTTAAGGGGGTTGGGGGTAAAATATGGCTGGGAAGCGACACTCTGTCCCTCCTAATAGGCAGTGCTGCTAATTAAAAGTGTTGGAAGGGACATCCATCCCCCAGCCTGTGATTCATTCAGCATTATCCCTGGCAAACTAGAAATAGATACTGGAATGAATGCTTCTAATTTGTCAAAAGAAGAGGCGTTTTCAATTGTGTCTTCCCGGCTCCCCGGATGAAGTACATAATTCAGTATTGCCATTATTTAAAAGTTTTGGACCTCAAAATAATAGCACCTGCTCCTTAAGTTCATAAATTTCCCAGTCTGTTTCCCATGTCAACATTCATCTTACATATGATTTGACTTCAGTTTCCACTATGGAGGGTGGTTCCTTCTGGCAAATATATTGAAACAGGGGCATATGAAGAAAGAATGCTAGCACAGTTGTGTTTAAAATCAAACCAATCTGAGACAACCTAATAGGTGAGGCTCAAATCCGGTCAGGGAAACTTAAGGCTCCGAATGACATTTACTAAGTACTTAAAGAAAAGAAGAAAGAGAATCAATATTCTCTTCGTCTAGCCATAAACATGGAGTAGGCCAGAGAAAAGCCACCACAAGCTCCTGCTCCCAAAGGCTCCATGACCCCACCCCAGGGTGTTTTAGGGAGGAACACAAAGCATGAAATCCATCACTTGGAGAGGACCTGAGACATCAGAGAGCAAATTCCCCAGAGAGGAAGCTTCTGCTCGTGCCAGTAAGCCCTGCTTTACCTGTGAGTTATGCAACAGAGCCCCTCAGTCAGGAAGAGTTGGAGTCAGGGTTCACCACCACCATGTCTTGCAGAATGCTAAAATCAAACAAAATACAGCATTAAACAAAAAGTAAGCATTCATGATGTAATAGGTTTATTTTTCTTCTCTCTCTTTCATTCAAGAAACATTTACTTAGTTCCTACCATACACCAGGTAATGGAAATATAGAAATGGATAAAACAAAACACCACCACCAACAACAAAACAATCAACAAATGCAGCCTATTGTAATTCCTGGGCAAGAAGTGGGGCAACATGCCTCTTAGTAGGAGTGATCAGGATATGCATGCGTGTGTCTATGAGAGTTTTTTTCCTGAGGTGTGTGTGTGCTCACGCACTCATATACATAGAAGCAGGGGAAAATTTGGAAAGAACGTTCCCATATTTGTAATTTGAGCTCTTGCCATAAGGAAGAGGGCACCATAGAAAAGGCCAAGAGCCTGAAAAGTGATCATCTCCTTTGACCTGTTAGTCACCTTTGGGATTCCTTCCCAAGGAAACAGCCACGATGGCAGGCCAATACTGATGTGCAGAGATGCTCATCATAATGTGACCTGTCAGAGGGAAACAATCACCAGAGGAATGATGAAGGAAATGCTGGCATGTCTTCAGAGTCATCTTATGCAAAGTAATTTAAATATTATTCAGAATATGGGAAATATGTATAATAAAATTGTTTATAAGATTTGAGCTCATTCTTTTAAAAGTTGGTCTTAAAATATGCTAAAATAGTGGTTATTTGTTTGGAGCATGATTGTAGGTCATTTTTCTCGTTTCTTTATGCTTTCCATATTTTCTATAAAGACCATGTCTTATTTTTCTAGACAGAAAGCAAACATACAAAGAGCAGTTTTAGCTGCATCATGATCACTTTTGTCCTACTTTCCCTGAACCCCTCTATTTAATTGGGAACCCCATGGCCATCCTCCCAAGCAATAACTCCACTCTGAAGGTAACGTTGCATTGAAATGATCCATTTCCATGTCTGCCTCCCTCTGGCTTTGAGCTCCACGGAGGAAGTTATCACACCTTTTTAACCCTTGGTTCTGTGAACCTATCCCAGAGATGAGCTCACAGCAGTCACTCAATGAATGTTTGCTGCATAAAAGGAGGAATGAGTGAGTGAATAAATGAATAAAAGACTTAAATGAAACTGTCATGACAAAAATTACATTAAGAAAGCTGTTCATTCAAAATAATCATTGACAATAAAAGTTAAATTCCATTTGGATTCACAGAAGATAGATGGCAAGCAGAGAGAAAGCAATTTTTCAGGAAAGACAGTGGAACTTAGAAAAAGCCTATGTCTTTAGAAAAAAAAACCTAACATAATGGAATCTCACAGCCTACTGATCTTCCAATGTATTCCAAAACCAAGAATCTGTTTAAGGCAGAAATATTTATCTAGTACAATATTCCATTACAGCAACTGCGTTATTTTACATGTTTGAAGTTACATATTCATAAACTAAGTGGTAGATACTTGTTATTACTTTTAATCAGCCATGGCTGGTTGACTCCCTGCTCAAAAAAAAAAAAAAAGCTACCGGATAGATTATTGTAATGTTTTATAAAAATTCAATTTAGTTTATTCATAAAATGAGGGAAATATCACCCTGATAATTTGCTGTTATGTTCCTCTGGAGGCAGACATGATTTGAATCCTACCTCTGTCTTTTAAGATCTGGGGTAATCATGGGCAAGTTATTTCACCTCTCCAAGGTTCAGTTTTCCTATGTATAAATGAGATAAAAATAATACCAACCTGATACGGTTATTGTACAAAACAAATAAAATCAGAGAAAGCATGCTTGTGGAACCAGACTTCAGGCTTATGTCTGTTTACATCCACATCGGGAACTCTGAAACATGCACAGGTCTTCCTTTTTGTGATGTGCCATGAGGTATGCTAAGCACTGCGCAAATGTCTCATTTCATCCTCATATTATCTGTTATGAGGAACTACTATTTTTCTACTTTATAAAATATTTTTTCTGTGATATTAATAGTAATGTATCTGATTTCATTTCTGATTTTAGTTATTTGAGTCTCTTTTCTTTTTTCTTCAGCCAATCTAGCTAAAAGTTTGTAAATTGTGTTGGTCGTTTTGGAGAACCAACTCTTGGTTTTGTTGATTTTTCTCTTTTGTTTTTCTATTCTCTATTCTCTATTCTGTCTTCTTTTGACACTTTAAAAATAAGGCAATGGATGCCCAATAAAAACATTTATTAAGTGTTGAGTCAAAATTCAAACCTAGAATGTCTGTCTTCAAATCCCAGTCTTATCAATAGTTATGAGAAGAAGGCACTGAATCTACAATTCTACATCCAGTCTTTGGCTCACAACAAAATTCAGCTTACAATTTTGTTATTTCACACCTACTATTATTTGATATGCTATGGCTTGAACTTATTCCCTCATAGTCACACTTAAGTAGCCTTCTATTTCTTTTCTTATTAAATATTTCAAGCATGAAGTTGAGCATAGACATAATTATAACAAAAACCTATACATCGCCAGCCTTGCCTGGTCACATATGACCATCTTCCATATTTGCTGCTGACTTTTCCTTAAAAATTATTATGGATAAAAGCAAAATATCCCATGCATTCTTCCTTAATTTTACAAAGACAACTCTTCTCCTAAATTTTCATGCATGCATTTGCTTCTAATACATGTTGGCATCTATAAACAATATATATCACTGTTTTGCATCCATCTCAAGCCTGCTCATTTTGTTAAATACAGTTTTTGCCACTTTAAAATTTTTACCACTTTGATAGATTAGCTTTAATTCTTTCATTTTAGCATTTAGATAGTATTTTATCATATGTTTATATTCTGACTTAATCATCCATATTGATGGACATTTGAGCTACAGTATTTCCAAATTGTGGTAATACAAACAATGCTGCAATGGAGATTGTTAGACTTATTGGGCACATGTGTGTGAGATTTCTTTGTGAACTTGTTGGGTCACACCATTCTCTTCTCTAATTATTGGTAAGATTAAAGATTATTTTAATATTTTTATTTTAGGTTTCTTCTTCTGAAATTTGCTTTTTAATATACCCATTTTTCTATTTAAGTGTTATAGGAGAGAGGAGAGTGTACATACTAAACAAATAAAGTAATACCTAGTATGTCAGATGGTCATCTGTGCCATAGAAAAGCCAGAGGAAGAGACAGGGCATGAAGGGTGCTGGGGTAGGAATTCAATTTTAAAAGTTAGTTAGGAAAGACCTTACTAGGAAGGTGACATTTAGCAAAGTCCTAAAATCTGTGTGGGCACAAACCATGGGAAGAAACGGCAAAATGGTACAATGATAGTATTTTATCAATATATGTGGTAGCACACTGGGATTTGTTATAATTATTTTCTATGCTAATTTGCTCACTTCAGATACAGCCCTTTTGTAATTATATATGTTGCGATTATTTTCCAAGTCCAAAGCTTGTCTTTTCACTTTGCTTATAGTGACATATACAACTCTTTAAATTTTAATGTAATAAAATAATTAGCATTTAACTTTAAAGTAACTGTTTTTTTGTTTTGTTTTATTAAATCAATCCTTTCTTACCCCTAGATCATAAAAAAAATTATTCAATAGTTACTTCTAAAGTTTTTAATGTTATGCTATTTGTATTTAATCCACTTGGAATTGATATTCTTTATATTATGTGAGGTCAGGATCCAATAGATTTTCTGTATAGATACTGTCCTAGTACCATTTATCTTAATTCATGGTTTCTGCATTAATTTGTAATAACATACCTATCATATACAAAGTGTCCAATCAGTATAGTCTGTCTTGGGGTTCTAGATTTTATTCTATTGGTCTAGTTTTCTGGGACAATTTATTTCCTTGAGAAAATACTCATACTACCTTAATTACTAAATTTTATCCTAAATTTTCACAGCTGCTAGGACCTATCCATCTGTGAATTCATCTGTAGATCCACGTGTTGATCAATTGATTGATGACTAATCCATTTAACCATAAATTGATCCATTCATCATTATTACTCATAAATATTTGTTGAGACCCTAATGTTCAAGACACAGGTTTGGTCGCTGGGATTTAATAGCAAACTAAACAGAGTCCTGCCCTCATGAAGCTTCCATTCCAGGGGATGGAGACACACACAAATGAGTGATTAAATCTAGAGTATGTCAGATGGAGATAGTAGCATGAACAAATGTGAAGTAGGGAATGAGGACCATATAGAAGTTAAGGAATAGGAATTGGGACCAGGAGTTCCAATTCTGGCCCCAGCACCATACCATCACCAACACATGAGGGCTGCCTGTGTCCCCATGAGATCTGCCACATGCACACAGCAGCTACATGTTAGGGTTACCACTTTCACATATCCCCCCAAACTCTATGGCCATTTGGAAGGGGGTTACAGAGTCGGTATATATATTCTTCATATCTAGCATCAACACGTTAGGGTTTGCTAATTTGCATATATCCAATCAAAGCAAAGGTGTGAGCAGAAACTCCCTTACGGGAGCCAATCACAGGGAAGAAGTTTTTAGTATGGAGTGTGAGGACCCTGAGCTTGCACAGCTCCCACTACTGGGCCTGCTGATCCTCCCCTCTCCTAATGCTCCCGGCAGTGTCTGGCTAAGTGTTTGGATCTTGTTCTAGCAAGAATCCTCCTGCTAGATCCAATCCACAGAGTCAGTTTAGCAGCAACCAAAGCAGTAGCAAAATCCATACCCACAAGGCAACAAGGAGGTCAGCAGAGGTGCCACCTAGAGGTTTGGGTACTGTGACCTTTTACCTCTACCCCAAATGAATATGTTTGTGTGTGTGGTGTGTGTGTTAATAAGAATAAGGATTTAGGCAAGAGAGGTTAAGTACTTTTATGTTGGATACTTCTTTGCTATATTGAGCAATTTTATAATATACTAGAGGCCCAGAGTGTGATTAAAATTGTGCAAGGAGGCACCCTGCGGGCTGCCGCGGAAGTCAGGCCAGACCGCCACTGTGGGCAGCCGGGACCTGTGCCTGACTGGTGCCGCAGA